GGAATGTCTGAGCACCCACAGAACCTAACCAGATCCTAATGAAAAGACAGATAAAGCATATTTTGATATGGCACATTGTGCAAGAATGTCACTTGTTGCGCTGAGGAAGGAACTATTTAAGAGTTAATCCCATGCTCCATTTCACCCATCAATGTAGTGTTCTGTACCATTTAAAGTTTCAAACAGCCCTCTTTATTTTTTGTTTGTGTGGGCGTGTGTGTGCATGCATGCCTTGATGTGGCTTTCTCAGATGCGTCCAAGGAAGCTGAATTTTACGTAAGAGCTAGAGAGAGCAGATCCCGGGTGCCCTCACAGGAAGTTTCTTTTGTGATCAGAAAGAGAACAATCCTTCTACCTCTTCCTCTGGTTTCTCTAGTCGAGCTAGCTTTAGAAGAAAAACAATTGGCAATTTCTTTGCCAGTCGTGCATTGTATCCTATGAAGTAGCACTTCTTTTTGTCAAACAAAGTTAATTTTGCCAAAGCTCCCATATACTTTAAGGTCAGTTTTGATTCACACTTGAGTTATGATTTGTTCAGCCACTTCACTGTGTTGGGCAGAAAGGTTTCTGAGCTCAGCAGCATCTGAGGTTAGCAAGGAGCTTAGTTGTAAGAGACAGGGCAGGATTAACAAATAGCAGTGAATGTTGCTGCAGCAAGTGAAGGCCCAGGCTCCCTCCTCTGGGAGGTTTGTTCTGTATTTTGGCTGTTTGACAGCAGTCTGACACAACCAAGCAGAAGGAGCCCTTTCCCAAGCTGGGACATGTCATTATGTAAGTGTTTATAATAAATGCCGACAGAAAAAAAACAGAGGGAGGAGTGTTACATAAGGGGCAAAACACAGAGCGCTGCTTGTCGAGGAATCTGATTTGAGGTGTCACTTCAGAGAATGCTGTCTCGTGTGCTGGCAGGAATGGCAGCCACTGCTGCACGCTTGTAGGCAGCTTTGAAAAGCATCCAAAATGCTTATGTGCTGATAGGAAACCCCAGCAGCTCTGCCTGGTTGGGATCACAAGCCCCAGAAGGAGTGAGTGGTACCTGTCCCACCTCACTCCTGTCTTTGGTGGGAAGAAGCAGTAGACCAATGCTGAGTTTTGTCCAAATGCAGCTTGCTTTCTTCAGTCCTAGAGAGCTCACAGCAGGGCTGCAGCGCAGGCTTACTGTCTCTCTCTCTTCTTGCCCTTGCTCTCAAAATTGCATGTGCAAGCTGGCAGGTTTGGGTAGGTGTGGTGAGAAACCTTTAATGGGTTTAGTAGCTTTTGGAATACATAGCTTTTCTGGAGACAACATGCTATTAATGCCATCCATTTTTAAAGCAAGGCAGTTCTTCCTCAGTACAAATTACAGAGGTGTCGCCTCCCTTAGCAACAGGCTGAAGAGTGAGGTAGGTTTGAGGAGCTGGTTGTGGTATTAAGCTATTAGCTACTGCAGCAGAAGGCAGGGCCAGCTCTGAAGTAAGCTTTAATGCTTTCGGGAGCGGCTTAATTTGCTGCACAGGTTGGTTTGCTGTAAAAAAAAAAAAAAAAAAAAAAAAAAGAATCTGTCACCATCTCCGGTATTTGTTTATATCAGATGAAGGACGTTACGGAAGCTCTTTTCCACAGCAGTGGGCTCTGCGATGTCTTGCTGCTCCCCTGGGCCTGCACCAGGCAGTGCTGTGGGACTATAAGGTATAAGGAAACATTTGTCAGCTCTGTGGTTTGAAGGAAAAGCCCAGCTTCACAGTCACCATTTAGCTTAGCAATGACAGTGAGTAAGCCAGTTTATGAGGGAGGGACAGACTTCACTTGGCTGCTTGTTTTTTAAAGATGCTCACGTGGGGACCTCTGCTTACAGTAGGGAATGTCTCTGGTCCTTTGTGTGTAGCTGGAACATCTGTTTCTTAAAGAGCAGAGTCCCTTCTTTTCTACTGTGTCACCTTTACTGAGACTCTGCCTCCAAGCAGTGGCGCTCAACCCATGCACATGTATGTTTTGTTTTGTTTTTCTTTTTTTAATCTAGGGGGAAAGACCTGAAGGAAAAGTATGAACAGAAAGTTTATGAGCGTGAAATGCAGCGCATCACACTGCCACTGTCAGCGTTCACCAATCCTGCCTGTGAGCTTGTAGAGGAGAACACAATCGTGGTGCACACCAACCAGACGCCTGTGGAGGACACGCACGATGGCAGTGGCCCGCTCATGGGGCAGGCGGGTACTCCTGGTGCCTGAGCAGCTCAGGCAGGAGCGATGCAGGCTGAGCAAAGCCTCCAGCTTCCCACTGTGAGTGCAGGGGTTGCGTGTGTTCATTTCTATTTTGTTTTCTTTTTGATGAAAGCCAGATGAAGGCGATGCGGAGAGATAGAGCAATAGGCTATTCATCACGATCTGTTTGAGGGACACCATTCAATGCATGACCAGCTGGGGACTGGTGTGGTGGACCCTGCTGCTTCCTCCCACCTAACCTCCATGGTGTGCCAAGGAGCTGGGGGGGGATGATGGGCCAGGCTCACAACTGGCCACAGATCCCACAGCCCAGAGTGTGATCTTGGCTTCCTCTTTTTCTGTTCCTTTCCTATTTAACGGTGTGCACTGTTACTTAAGTTTCAGCCTGGAACCCCAGGAGGGAGCAGTACTGCAGGGACTGAGGGGAGCTTCACGTCAGACTTAGCTAGATAATTACACTCCGATTATAGTTCCTGCCTTTTTGCTTTAGTGGCTGAGAGCTGGAGACACTGTCCAGGATCCTGCTACTGGATCAGGTTTTTTTCCAAGGAGGAGTTTATTGGCGGGATGGCTTTGGCCAGGAGCAGTATGTTTAGCCCCGGTGTCAATTTGGAAAAGCTCTTCTTGAGCTCTTGACAAATCCAGGTCTTCCAGGGCTGAGGCCACATCTCCATTCCCCTGTGGTGCTACATACACAGCCACAGTTGTAGGTGTTCAGGTGGTCTATGACTCCTGCTTGCTTACTTAAACAGATCAGGAGACCAAAGGCCAGCAGTAGATGTGGAGTGAAGAAAACAAGCTGCCCTTCAGTTACCTACGGGAGGTTGAGCACTGAGAATAGGTAATGTTCTCTTCCAAATTCCCTGGGCTTTCTACAGAGCCAGCTCTGGACAGAGTGGCCAAGCTGGCTGTGGAGGTCACCCTGGCCATAGTGCAGCAGCTCTTGCTCTAAGAGCAGGACAGGGCAGCTGCTCTTGCAAGATCCCAAAGTTACAGCATGGCTCCTGGCCCAGCCTCCTTCACCCACACTCAGCTTGTGCAGCAAGACTACTTGCTGACAGAGCTTGGCCCTATTAGAGAGGTTTTGTAACAACTTTTATCAGCGTTTCAGGTGGTTTGAAGGGATAGTTGCTGCAGTGTCTCCCAAATGGCACCAAGGCAAGGCCAGTTCAGGGAAACATCCATCCCCACCTTAGGGGATTCAAGCCATTCAAGTAAGTTTTCTAGCCATCTAGTTTATAGCTGTGGGGCTAACAGGGAACAGCACTTGGCAGCAGGGGTTTTAGTGTTAATGTTTGATTCAGAAAAGGGAAACGTTTTATTTTTAAATGCCTTTGAATACCTGTTCTTTGTAAAATGTTTTAAATACCTCATTACGAGAAGGTGCAGATTGTGCTACCTTGTATTAAAGCTTAAAAGAAAAATGCTCTGTAGACCTGTGTGGACTGTGGTTCATCTGTACATTCCTCCTGCCAGAGCTGCATCCTTAACTTGTTGCAAACTTTGAATTGAGGAGAAGGTAAGATACCACTTCAGTTTGCCAGGCCTAAAGGTATAATCCCTACAAGCAGTGCTTCCGCTCACCAGCACTGACAAGAGGCATGGAGCTTGTCTCCTTGCTGCCAGCAGCTAGTCTTGGACTGGGACACTGTTCCTGAAAAGCAGCTGTGGGCGTGTGAGCTCTGCTGACTCAGCAGGCTGGCCCGTGGGAAGACGTGCTCAGTTACAGCCCCTTCCTGCACTCACACAGGTCAGTTCTGCTTTGGTGCTGCTCAGCAGCAGCTCCATCCCTCAGGGCCTTGCCTTGGAAAGCATGATGGAGACAGAGCACAGCAGGTTACAGGAGCCACTGACATAGCTAGCATTTTTGTTCAGTTGTTGCCTTAACAAATACCTCTTGAACTACATATTTCAGAATAAGATGTTTCCAAGAACAGGCTGTATTTTTATCCCTGGATCTGAAAAGGAAAAGGAAAAGGGAGAGAGGCTCCATGTTCTGCTGGTTCCTGCCCACCCTTAAAAAAACTGAACAACCACCAATCAACAAAACTTGACAACTTCTTCCCTTTGCCTTCCATCACTCCAGGTAAATAGTACTATAGAGCACTTGCACTGCATCTTTGTAGTTCTGTAAATGTGGTAGAGCCCTTTGGCTCAAGAAAGGAAGTTCTAGGTGATACCTGATCTGTGCAGTTTTGATGTTGCCATTTTGTGAAAACAATCATAGAATCACTTTGGTTGGAAAAGACCTTTGAGATCATCGAGTCCAACCTTTAACCTAACCCTGCCATCCCACCACTAAACCATGTCCCTAAGCACCTCATCTCTCCTTCTTTTAAATACCTCCAGGGTTGAGGACTCCACC